ATCCACCAAGAAAAATATTTTCGAAAATTAATGAGTACCCTAAAAGAGTTGTGGATGAATTTCTTCTAACAAGATACAATCAACGTCACTATCCTCTAAATAAATGTGGCTGATTTTTGCGCCAATTTGCATGAAAACTCCCACCACTCATGATCGTCGAGCTAGGCCAAATTGGCCCGTTTTCCAACATCATTAACCAACCTCGTCACCACCATCTTATTGCCCACAACCCCTTCACCAAAACCCGTATCTCCATCAACTTGTTCATCCCGTCGTTCGTCGGCCACAACTCTAGGGTTTGACTTGCGATTTTCTTGCTTTTTTGGCCATTCCCAACACCGGAAATTCCCCCATCACCGCCTTTAGCTTCGCCGACACCTCCGCTCCAAAGCCCCTGTCATCCGCAACACCAATTGCTCACTGATCATTGCCCTCCTCCTTCTAGGGTTTCACCAATTTGATGACTTGGGTTTGAGTTGTTTTGCATAATGTTAATTAATCATCCTACCCTTACTTATAATAGACATTTGATTATCCTGCCCTTTTCCACAACGAAATTTACTAACGAAACTTTGCTATGGGTAATAAAATTGTATTTTGAAACTTTTTGGGTGGAAAATGTTATTTGGCCATTATTTGGTGGGAAAAAGTGGTGGACTCCGAAAATAAACATGAAAAGACAGCATTTAGCCATGAACATTGAAGAGGCTTATAATCAATATTAAGAAGCCAAAACCCTGAAATCTGGAAAATCAATCATTGAATATGAAGAATGGTTATGAACAACATCAAGAATCCACCAACAAGAAGCCCAAGTCAAACTTGGCATTACCAATTTGTGAGAACAAGAAGACCAGAGACTTACCCAATTTATCAGAATGCCAAACTTGTGGTTTTCGAACCGATGCTTGTTCCGGTAAGAACAGAATTCAAATTTTATACAGTGAATGGCGAATTGTTCTTCTTTGCAATAGATGTCTTTCTCGCGTTGAATCCTCCCTAATTTGCTCTTATTGCTTTAATGAAACTACAAATGATTCGTTTTCTTGTTCTCAATGTAAGCGTTGTGTTCATAGAACTTGCTTTTTAAAGTACAGAACTGTTTCTCCTTGGTCGTATTCTTCTTCTTCTTCCATGGACTTTTCAGTTTGTGTTGACTGTTGGGTCCCTGAATCAATGATAAAAAGGAGAGGGTTTTTTATTGGTAGGAACTATAGTAGCCATTCTAAGGTTTTCAATGACGCCCAATCTTTGAAGGACCCCAATTTTGCTTTGGAGAGGACAGTTGTGTTGGCCTTGATGGCTCCACCGATGGCGGCAAAGAAGCTGATGGAGGTGGCAAAGATGCCAATGGAGATGGAAAGTAATGCATTGAATTTGGAGGTAAAGAGGGAGGGCGATGATTGTAATGATAAGAAGGTTGTTGATGATGCTGAGTTGGCGTTTAAGCTGCACCGGGCAATGAATAGCTCGCGGAGGATTTCAAAGAATTTATGTGCTGTGAAATCGAGTTCTTCCAGTGTTCCCAAGATACAGGAGTTTAATGATAATTTGGTTCTTAGATGCTCAGATTCAGGGAATCCTAGTGTTTCTTGTGAGATTGAGGTTTGTGCTAATAAGAAGATGAATGAGAATCTGGATAGAAATGTTTTAGATCCTTTGCTATGTGTTAAAGATGAGGATATAGGAGTGCAACTGAAGGAGGGAGAGGGGAGCTGTTCAAACAAATTGGTAAAGTCAAGTGGAGATGAAAATAGTACAAACTTTGAGTCTAGATCTTGTCATAATAATCAATATGAATCTACTGAATGCAAGGTTGAAACATGTGATGGAAAGCCTGATCGCTATTTGTTGAAGTATAGAAAGAGGAATCCAAGCTCCAAACGAGTTCCAAATGGTAGACCTAAGATTCTGTATGAAAGAATTCCCAATCAAAATCAGCCTCCAGATGCTGGATTATCTTTAAATTGTTCAAGGGAATCGAGAACATTCTCAAATGGTTCATTTCAGTCATGTGCTTTTCCTCTACAAGCATCTACCTGTGCAAGTGGTTTGTCTCCAGATCAGTCTTAGAGGGAACAGGTACTAAGTTACTTAATACTTTCGCCTTCCAGTTAGTTTGTTTTGTTTGTAGCCCTAATTTTTGTTTGCTTTCCTCGTGATTGATATTCTTTTCTTAGTTTTGATAGAATATTCAGTCATATATCGTAGTATCAATGCTTTGCCTAGTTCAGTTCAAAATATAGCTAATAGTTTAAAGGATCAATGAATATTCACTAGTAATTTTAGTTTATTCATTGCCAATTACCTGGATCTGTTGCAACTCCAGTGTCCTTGTATGAATTATTTTCTGTACCGTTATGTATTTTGTTGTAGTGTGAGAAATGTATATCATTTTCTTGGCAGTTGTAAGCCAATATTGTTTTATATTTAAACTAATTGTTTTGGTAAAATGAATGAAAGTAGCTCTGATATATGAATCTACATTGCATTGCTTACTTTAAATAGAGCAAGATGTAGGGAGTAACCCATGGAACATTGGTTCCACTACAAATTTTTGCCCACAACCATGAAGCCAATGGACAATGAAGGAACAAATGGTCAGAGCATTCTGCATCATTTTTGCACCTAACACACGAATAGGGGGATAGGCTCATTTTTCCTGCTAGTCTTCTTTTACTCATAATGTACCAATTAGAAGATAGGCATGCCTTGGGTCTTCTAATTTGAAGTAAGTAACTGATGTTATCTTTTTGTGCTATGTCCAAGCCAAAATGTTCACTTGGTAAGGGACTTCTACCTTCCAAATAAGACTTGAGGAGTTGAAAAATGTGTTAAAGTAGGATTTGCTTGATATTGACAAAAGTTTAAATGTGTTAAATAGTTTTTAAGTTAAAAATCTTACCTTAAAAAGAATAACAAAAAAGATATTTTTATGTATCCAAGGTCTCCTATCCTACCTCTTATTGTCGAGGGAAACTCTATCAAAAAAAGCCTAGAAGGTCAGCACGTTATAAAGTTGTTAAATTTTTCAAACTACCTCTAAATTTGAGATCCCACCCCTAATGGAAGAGCAACAATTGTTTTTCTAGCAATAGAGGCATTATGCCTTGCTGAGGAAGATTTTTGTGAAAATTTTGAATAGGGGTTTTTGATGTTTTTGGTTTTGATGATCTGGATAAGAGATGTTTTTTCATCGTGTCTAGTTTTTGAGCCTTGGGGTTCTTGGGACAACTCTCCATTTTTGTGAAAACTTTGAATAGAGGTTTTTGTGTTTTTAGGTTTGATGTTTTCCTTGGGTTGGGACAACGTAGAAGCATTGTTTTCTAGCACCTAAAATAATAATAATAGAAGCATTATGCTTTATTGAAAGTTAGTAAACTCAAGGAGAAAGATCACAAAAGATTTCCCCCATTTAGGCCCAAGGACATCAAGAAGAACCTCTAATAAATTCTTTGGAACCCCAACCATTCTAGTCTGTATTTTCTTTTTTTAACAATTTGCTCGAGGAAATTTGTCTCAAGAGGAAATCTCCGTGATCATTTTTCAGGCAGGTTCCAATCTCTTTGGAAAAAAATAGATGATATAGAATCCGAATACAAGTCTTTGTTTCTAAATTCTAGGAATACAAAGAATCTTAGAAATGTGTTTGTTTGAAATATTTTTGAAAATTCTTTTTGGATACAACTCTAGAGTTAAATTTTAGAAAACTATGAAAGTACCTTTTCTTAGTATTCTATCAAATTTTATCTAGATTGTATTCAAGAACCAAAAAAACTTATTTTTGTGTTTTAGAACACCTAAATATTTTCTTGACCATTAAATCACTAACATTTTATTAAATATTAAAACCCAATATACCACTTTGCCATATCTCCAACAAATCTTTGATTTCTTGAATTCAATTTTCATCTTTATCAAATTTATTCACTTTTCATCATTACATGATTAGATAGATTTTTACAACACTTACGATATTGCAATGCACAAATCATTAGTAAGTTTTTATCTGTGTACCCTTGAGGTTTACTTGAAATTGAAATATAGTATTTGATAACAATTCTTTAATCTATTATTTATGGATTTAAAATAATTTTTAGATTTTACCCTAAGAATGTAAAGCTATTTATTAAATTTGTTTTAGTCATAGATGTGGCACAGTATATATAAAAAAAAAATGCTTGACTGCTGGTTCATGTTTTACGTTATTAAAATATGTTATAATTATGTTTATATAAAAAATTTGGTGAAAAATAGTGTTTTAAACAACATGTTAACCAAACAAATATTCAGATTTTCATTGTTTAAAGATATTATATAAAAAATGTTTTAAAGTTGAAAACAGTTTTTGAATATTATATCAAATGTATTTTTACATTTTAAAAATATCAAGAATACAACTCAAATTTTGGTTTGGATCCTTATTTTTAAAACTGTTTTTGGATCATGAATAAAAAATGTTCTTACCTACCGCTAATAGCCTTTTGCTATGGGGTTGAGATGCTACCTTCCAATTAACCAAGTAGTCTTTTGCCTTCACCCATTTCTTCCCAAAGAAGATTCTTAAAGCCTCTTTAATGCTGCATTGATTAACTAAATAAAGAAAGGAAACAGGTATGAATGCTAGGTAGAACTAATTAGATGAGGATGAGTTGCCCACCATTAGATAAGCAACCTTTCCTCCAGCCATGTAATCACTTCTCAACCTTTTCAATTACAGGATTCTATAATACACCTGCTCTTGAATTGCCTGCCAAAGTTAAATCCAAATATTTCATCTCCCATCTCACCACCTCACCACCCGTTGTAGAAGCAAAATAAACAGATCTATTATTAACATATTAATCCCAAACAATGCGCTCTTTTGTGGTTTATTTTAAACTTAGAAATGTCACAAAACAACAGCACCACCTGAATAGAGGAATTTGGAATCATCTCCGGGCTGAAGAAAATTGTGTCAGCTAGTTGGAGATGAGGGATAGTTACTTTGTTCTACCAATTTCTAAACCTTCCACAACCTGTCCTCCACTACTCTAGCAACAAGTTTACTTATACCGTCCACCACTAGAGTGAAAAGTAACAGAAAAAGTAGGTCCCCTTCTCAAGTCCTCTTGAAGTCACTTTCACCCCTAGTTACGAATATCTTTCTCCCCCATCAAGTAGGTTCAATGCTCTAAATCCTTTATAGATGTCTAGAAAGAGGATGCATTTCCATGTTTGAAAACTCTATTTCATGTTGGATATGTTTAACAAGTTTTGGATATACTTTAGGGGATGTTATATAAGTTTGCATATTTGTAAAAATACGGCTCCTTTGTAAATATATTGATCTTCCTTGGTAATTCTGGTATGAATGCTACATGAGTAGGTTGGAAAGCGATTTGAATTTTTAAGTTTGGTGAAACTATTGTGATAAATAAATGAATGCCCAAACTGTGTTCAATTTATTTAAAATTTGAAAAGCTTTAAAGCATAGTCAATTGGCAGAGTGGTGGGCATTTTATGGATGTTCATTATTATGTACAACTTGATAACTAAGGTTGAATCTAACTTGCATTTTATAAATGTAATGGTTGTTCATTATTATATACATTGTAAATTCTGCTTTATGTGTTACCTCTCAGGTTTTCATGATGCAGATTTTATATTTGATGCATTTTGATTCATATGGTATAGCTCCTTTGTCTATGAACATGTATTTTTGTTTGAATTAGAAGCTGTTTATTGAAAATTTTGTACACCTAACTAACTGTATTCAAAGCTTTTTGGGCAAAATTTTTACGATGTTTAAAGAGTACTCGACTAATGCTGTGTCTTGAGACTGAATATTACGCTTTATTTTGAAATGGCAGATTATAATTATCATTTCACGGAAGATCTTGGAAATTATCTCGCAAAGGCATTCTTTAGTTTCCTTAAACTTGAAGCTTCTGGTGAGTTCTGAGGAAGTATTAAAGTTTTTGGAGGATTGGCGACTGGGGAGATATATTAGTGTATATACTCTTCTCTTTATATGCTTAGAAAGTCCCACTTTATTTTTCTTAAAAGCAGCTTGGATTCTTCCCCCTATTCTAGAGGTTTGAATTTTAGAATACTTTAGGAATTTGAATGTCGAGGAAGCGGCTAAATTTCTGTACTCTTGGTTGGATTAGAGTGTGTTTTCTTATAAATCGTATTTTAATTTGTGGCTGATAATTCATCCTATCCCTTATTCTTCAAGCAAGAATGATTTGAAAAGCCAAAGTTCCAAACAGGATTTAAATATTATCATGGGTAGCTTTAGGTAGAATAGCACATAACATTGTCCAAAAAAGGTGGACTAAGGTCCTTGTATTCACTGGCGTGGTATGTGTACAATTGAAGGGGAGATCATCAATCATCTTCGTCTTGACTATTCCATAGTCTTTAAGTTGTGGCTTCGTATCTTTAAGGCCGCAATGCTGATGTGGGTCATTTTTGGAGTCTCGTATCTTTAGCCTAGTGGTGTTGCTTTGGTCATTGGCATTTTCTGAGGGGGATTATGTTGACTGATTTTTAAGTTTTAGAAAGTGAAGTTTGTTATAAGTGGGAGTGGGCAACTATTTTTATTCAAAGTTGTGGTTTGTGATGGGCGCTTTCCTTGATTCAGTTACAGACAGTGAAGCACGTCTGTTGCTGTTTACAGCAGAAAATCGAAAGGTGTGGTTCTTTTATATTTAGGTTTAAAACACAGTTACATGAGTGGAAAGGGTTCATTATTATTATTTTTAAGTTTTACAATTTGTTTTTAGTCTCCTTTGGTCGTTCTTTTCTTATGTTGGTTGGCAACCTTCTTAATGAGATCCTCCCAATTGCAACATTAAATTTTATGTTTTTTGTGTTCACAGTTGTTGGACGCCCACAAAAAAGCAAGTATGCATTACATTCACGTTACTTTTCTTTTAATTAGTGTCTATAATAAAGGCATTTACTTTTGATAGTGTAATGAAATGAAATGTATATTTAAACTGATAGATAAGTGTCCACTACAAGAATGTCAAATCTTTAAAGAAATGAAAAACTCAAAAACTCAGAAAATGAAAGAGTCCTTGTAGGCTAGAAATGGAGAGTGATGATAAAGATCATGTATCCTACATATTATGGAAATAGTATAAATAATAGTGTGAGAAACCATCTAACATTGAGAAGCTTGAATGATTTGAGATTGTAAGAATGTAATGTGTCCTTTTTTTCTGTTATAATGTTGTTCATTTTTGCTTTATATCATATATCATATCATGACTCGAATGATAAATTTTAAGCTCAAGCTTATTGTGTGATAAATTATTCTTTAAAGCCACAAACTACATTTATAACCAGGAAATTGGCTGTCGCAAGTAGACCTAACAAAACGGGCGGGTGGGTCGAGTACGGGGTGGGTCTAAATGGGTGCAGGCCCAAAATGGGTCTATTGTACAGGTGGACTCGTGGGTATCTATACTGTTCACTCCAGTTTTAAATTTTTGCAATTACACCCCCAAATCTTCCTAAACTCTTGAGGAAAAATTGTCTTTCTTAGGTCCAAACAAAAATTCTCTTATTCCCAATATAGTTTTAGTTCACAAAAAACATATCCAAATTTCTATTATCATTCAAATTATCATCAGAAAAAATAAGGAGAATCAGATTAAACCAAATAAAAATCTCTAATCCCCAATTTTATATGTAAAATGAATCCTTTAACATAAAAAAAAATAATTGAAATTCTAAATAATTAATTTTGATGTACGCAAATTAACAACTCAGCTAAAACAAGATTTAAATAAATCAATATGATCTCTTTTCTTTTTCCCCACAATTTAGAATCTTTTCCCCAAGTTTTCTGAGCTGTCAATCACGAACCAAAACCATATACACACAAAAGCCCAATAAAAAAAAAAAGTCTCTTACATTATTTTCTCCCAAGTTTACTCACCAACCAAACAGAAACCTATAACCTAGCAAAGAAAAAGATAAAAACTTTACTGACTGTCCTCTCATTCCTCATCAACCAAATAAGCCCACATAAAAAATTTGAAAAAAAGAAAAAACTTACACAAGAAAAGCAACAGCAGCACAAGCTAGAAAGTAGCTGCTAAGTATAGGAAATGGAGACAAGACAAATTAGAAAAACTTCTAGATTTAGTTTGATTAGTGTTACAATGGTTTCCAAAAGAATACAAACAAACATGTTGATTGACATCTGTTATCTATAGAACAGTAAGAATAAAGCAAGAAGAGCAACCTTCAATGTTACTAGATTGTAGCTGAGGAGAAGCTGAAGACGCCGGAGAATTGACTCCAAGAATTGGAGCTACTGAAGAGTGAAGAGTGAAGACAAAGGAGATGAGATCAAATCGGCGACAGTGATACACATACCTTGATGCGTCGACAATGGAGATTGTAGATGTGGCTGATGAGAGCGGAGACAGGAGAAGCGGGGACAATGGAGTTGGGGATTTTGATGACGATGAGTTTGAGAGAAGGCTAATGAGAGAGAAAATGAAAAGGGAAAAGGTTTTTTTTTTTTTTTTTTTTTTTAAACAAACGGGTACCCACGGGTGTACCCGCACCCTATATTTTTTACCCCGGTTTAGGGTCGATCCGTGGGTCCGAACCCGTTTTGCTAAGTCTAGTTGCAAGCATCAATCAAGTTGAAGAGCAATGGGGGAAATTTACTTTTGAAAGTTTGTTAAAAGCTGTGATGTGAAGTGGATCCAAATTTGTTGATTCAATTATTCCACTTATTTTTTTCCTTTTCTCCCTATGGTGTAAAATCTCAGAGTTAGGAACATTGTATATTTAAAACTGTGTACTGCTATTGATTTCTTAGGCTTGGGAAGGTTCACATAAAAGTTTAGTGGATCAACTTATTAATTTTCATTCTTTTTTATTATTACTATTATTATTCTTATTCTTATTATTAGAGTTAGTGACATTAATCCTTGGGGTATGATTAGACTTGGAAAAAAAGGGACTCGCACCTACGAATCGATGGTTACTTTTTGCGCGTACGGACTAATATATTTAGGACTCGTGGCATCATTGCTCGTACCTAGCCCATTTGTTATTTTCACATTGTGGGCCAGGTGATACCCATGGGCCTAGTTAGTAAATACGGATAATAAGAATTTTATGGGTATGATACGACAAATGGTGAAAATACGTTTGTAAAAATTTGGCTATAAAGTTCTGATACAAGAAAAATACGGTATGGGTATATACATGTTTAATACGACATATTGTCAATAATACATTTTGAAAAATACGGTAATATCAATTCTGGTTTTAGCACTTTTTATGGACCGCCTGGTTAAAATCAATATAACATTTCAAATATACGGATACGAGAGTTTTATGGGTATGATACAGCAAATGGTGAAAAATACATTTGTAAAAATTTGGCAAAAAATTGGATACAGGAATAATTTACGAATAAAACGTTTGAGGCATATAGTTTATGAATAATACAGTTGGACTGATAAAATACGAAAATTTGTGAATTTACTAACTTGCCCACAAGTAACCGCACAAACATTGAAAAGTGGCAGGTTCATAGAAAGGGGTTGAAATTTTTTTTTTCCTTTCCTTCTCTCTTAGCTCCATTGCTGGATTCTTTTCTCCAACAATATCTTGCCTTTTCTTCACTACCCACCGCCATTGTTTCCTTTTCTGCTCTCTTGCTCTATTGTGCATTTTCCTCTGTCCAGCTCATCTCAAATCCAAACTAAAAAGAAAATTCTGCCCTGGTGACTGACTATTCTTTCTTTGGAATTTTTTTTTTTAATTTGAAATTGGATATTATGAGTGAATGAATTTTGATGTGACAGTGGTGAATTGGATTGATTTTTTAATTTTATTTTATTTTTGTAGACTGGTTTCTTTTATGGTGGTGGAACTTCTAGTGTAGTGCTTTGAAGTCCGATAAGTGTAGTGGTGCTGTGGCTTGTGTGCTGGAGTACGATTTTTGAGAAGATGGACCGGATTTTAAATTTTTTTTTTTTTTTTGGATTTTAAATTTTTTTTTTTTTTTTGAAGAAGATTATGTAAGAGAACAGAACAAAGGAAAAAGAGAGAGAGAGAGAGAGAGAGAGAGAGAGAGAAAGAAAAAGAGGTGACCCACAGGTCCACCTATACTCGCCTGACCGGGTATGGGTGTTGCATTTTCTTACTCGTTCACAATGTTTACCTGTTTGACCCGTACTCGTTTAACCCGTACCGGTGTTTACTCGGCTCACCCGTTTGCCAGGTCTAGGTATGATAAAATAATAAAAATTTCCGAGGTTTTGAAAATATTAGAAATCTTTTAACCGTTAAATTTTAGGTGTTTAGACGATAAGAAGGTAATTTAATAATATTTATTAAATGATAACAATGTAAATTTTAACAGTTTATTAATGGAAGAGAGATTTTTGGATCCGTTTGGTTTGTTATTTTGGATAGGATTTAGAAATAATATTGAACAGTTGAATATGGTGATTATTACGAGGTAAAATTTAAAAATTAACAAAAAAAAAACCCCCTAGGTTTGCTAATTTAACTAAACACCCCAATATATAAAAATTTTGTAAAATGACAAAAACACCCCCACCCACCCACCCACAATGCCAGATTCCGGCCACCATATTCGGAATCTGGTCAGAATTTGGCATTACGATGCAGACCGATCGGATCTGGCTGGACGTGCGTCGATCTGGCCTTTTCCAACCAGATTCGTGGAAAAGGCTAGATCAACGGCCAGATTTGGCCGTCAATGGCCGCAAAAGGCTAGATCTGGCCGTCTCTTGGCCATCGTTGACCGAAAAAGACGACCATATCTTTGGCCATCGTTAATGGCCAGATCTAACCTTTTCCGGCTAGATCCACTGTGGATATGACCGGAAAAAGCTAGATCGGTGAATTACAGGCCATTTTCGGTCCTTTGTATGCCGTTGTGACAGATTTTGGCTACCACCAACGGTGGTTGCCGTAATCTGACAACTATGGGTGGGTAGGGGTGTTTTTGTTAATTTTTAAACTTTTTTCTGGATGTGTTTAATGAAATTAATAAACTTAAGGGGTCTAAAAGTAATTAAAAAAATATAATAGTATTTCCTAAATAATTAAACAAACAATTATTTTTGGAATAAGATTGGGAATAGGGTATGAAATAATAAACCAAACGCACCGTTTGT